TAAACTTTAATTAAAAGACAAATATTGACATGTGAAATACAAGCAGTGAGAACTGAAATGTTGTAATTTAAAACTTTTTTCAAGTTTAGCTGCTGTGCGCGCGTTTATAAAACGTTATGCTTAAAGCACTATTTAGCATACTCCAGTGCAAGGATCCCAAGGCCAAACTGTTTTTAGGAATAGTAATACAGTACTCTGGTGTGCACCGACCTAGTACTGTTAAGATCTCCTCGATCTATAAGATCTTTCGGTCAAGACAAAGATCCTATCGATCTGTTAAAACCTTTCGGTTCAATAACCTTTTGGTTCAGGCAGAGATTTCCTCAATCTGTTAAAACCTTTCGGTTCAAGTAAAGATCTTTCGTTCTGTAAAAACCTTTCATTTCGGAGCTATGTTCCTTCGGGCACAGACTAAAACTTTCACGCTTTCAAACTCTGTAGCAGCAGCACAACAGCACAAAATGCTTATGTGTTTTTCGTATCTCTTTTTTATCTCTTGTGTCCAAGAGCTCCCTAAGAGGTACTATATATAGGCCTCTAAGACCAGCTCAAAGGTCACCCACATTTAATTTAACCGTTACAAACATAGTGGCAATTATGACAATTATATTTATAACGACAAATAACATAAATGTTATAACTGCTGCATGCAGTAACGTCTCAACGCAAGGGTCGCGATCCTGCGCAACACGAGGACTGCGTCCAGCCTCGCGCAAACGCGAGGGTCGCACCCTCATGCGAACGCGAAGCTCGTTTGTATGCTACGAGGCAGCCTGCAATGCCACCTGCGTGTTAACCAACATGGCAGCCAACGTGGCACCAAAGGGTGCCACCTAGTGGCAAAGTGCGCCTAACAAAGCGCCACTTAACGTCTCAGCCCGATTAGCCCTCGATCCCCGGCCCATTGGCCCACTAGAACTTATGAGGGATTAATTAAATAAAAATAATTCTCGGCTTGCCATTGGCAAAACTCGAACACAGAACATTTGAGATATCAAAACTTAAACTTTCCGCCACGCTACTAAGAATTTCTAAAAAATACCAGTATTTAATAAATACATAGTTTAAAAACTCATTTTTGGAAAGCGGTTTTGACCAAAAATATCCAACAATCCCCCATAAGTTTTTAAACTAGTGTCGTGTAACGGTGCCATTGTTTCAATCGTTGTGCATAAGGTAGATGTCGCAATGACTTGAATCCCCCTTAGACCAACTAAATAAAAGATAGATGCATGGTGTTGCAGTGATTTGAACCAGCACATATCTAAAATCCAGTGATCACACAAGATCAAACTCATATGTGGTAGTTTTCACTTTGAACTACACTTGCATTTGCCTTTGCCTTTGCCTTGCACATTTATGACCTTGTGCTTGTCTTGGTTTTCGCTAGGGCTCTAGGTATCTTTCCACAAGACACCATAGGAGACTGTTAAATCTTCACCTAGGCATTGGTGAGTTCTTTAGGCATATTTCCTATCAAACATTCTGCATCCGATATGCTTTGAACTCATTAAGGTTTAAAAGTCAACCTCTCTCATGATAGGATTCTAGGTGAGTCCTTTAGGTGTGTTTCCTATCTAATACCCCGCATCCGAAATGCTTTGGACTCTTAAGGCTTAACAGTCATCCCCTTTACATGATAGGATCATTAGTGAATCCTTTAGGCATGTTACCTATCCAACAGCCCGCATCCAAAATGCTTTGGATTCATTAAGGCTTAACAACCATCCTCTTTACCATGATAGGATTTCACTTGCAAATCTTACTTAACTTTTGAACCAATCATCTCATCATTAGTAGTGTAATCTTTTAAATGATAACTTGATGTAAATGCTAAGTATTTGTAAGACTCGCCAAACTTTACAAATCTTACTTGACTTTTAAACCAATTATCTTATCATTAGTAGCATAAGCTTTAAACTAATAACTTGATGTACATGGTAAGTATTTGTAAGACTCACAAAATTTTGAGACCCATTCCAGCAGACGTCTTTTCGACTATGTCCTTTTTCAGACCCTTAGTCAAAGGATCAGCCACATTCTCTAAAGACCGAACGTCAATCACAGAGATGACTCCTTGGCAAATGAGTTCTCTCAAATAGCCATGCTTTAGACGAATGGTCCGTTTCTTTCCATTGAATATCATGTTCGCTGCCACAGCACTCGTCGCCTGATTATCATAATAGATAGTAATTACGCCTTGCAATTCTATCAATGTAAGGTCTCGAAGAAAACAACTGAGCCATTCAGCTTCATCTCCTGTAATATAGAGTGCAAAGAACTCAGATTCCATCGATGACTGTGCAATCATAGTCTATTTCTTAGACTTCCACGAGTAGACCGTTCCACCCATGGTGAAGACACATCCTCCAGTAGATCTGAACTCATCTGGTTCTGGACACCAGCTTGCATCTAAATAGCCTTTGATTACAGCGAGATATCTAGTGTAGAATAGGCCAAGACCTGTAGTTCCTTTAAAGTATCTCATCAATCTCTGAACAACATCCTAATGAAGCTGTGACGTGACACTCCTGTTTTCACATATAGCTGTAGTCCAAAATG